CTTCCTAGCTTCATATTAAACAGCAACAATTTTTCTAAGGAAGATTAGGATATTTCTTTTAGGTATATTTCCAACCAGCCTCTGGAAGTGCAAACTTTTGGTATTCTACCTCTGTGGAGAGCTCTAGAAACTCATCTCCTATGATCATCATCAACACCTACACAATCCTGGAATCTTAGAACTCACTTATGTCCAGAGAATGCATTCAGAAGATTTAATTTGTTTATGTTTTTAAAAATACTTATCTATGGTAGTATGGGCTTTTGAGGGACCAAGTTGTCTGGAATTCATGGACAATAAGCCTCCCTTTGTACAATCAGATTGCAAATACTAAGTCTGGAAATCTCGGGATTTATGTTCAAAGTTCACCATTTGGTGGGAACTAGTCTTCTCTCAGAATCTGGTGGCCAGACTACTGTAACTCCTCCTGAGGTCATAAAGGAAAAGTGTTTTCAAGGATTGGTCTTGAAGCATGATTAGTATCTACATACAGCTCTCAGAAATATGAGGCTTTTCTGAAAACATTCTCTCAGATTTGTGCTTTCCCAGACTAAAATCCATGCACGTGCAGAGAGATGCACACCATTAGCTCCCTTATTTGGGGATCCAATTGCAGCTTTAGTGCTATTCATCCTGCTCAGGGTGTTTTTCATAAAGATTAAAACACTTGCATTGCCTGCTCCAGTTCCAAGATCCCTTCTACTAGAATACTGAAGAACTAACCCATAACTCCTAACAAAACTGTTATTTGTCTTTATATTATACAATGAGAAGTTCTCAATTCTAAACCAATCTCACATTACCAGAATGTGAACACCTAATGTTGGTCAAGTCAAAAAACAGGCCTAGTGCTGCTCCATTGTTACCACATTGAGTCCGGAATAACATAATTGTGACTTTTGCTATGCAGGAGAAAGTTCTGTAATACACAGAGCACCTCTCACTTTATTGTCCATTGTTTCCTATGCAGAAATTCCTATGCAGAAGTTACGTAAGAACAAACTGCACGACATGGAGTGAAAGACTGTGATTTCCATGATCTACAGACAGATCTACACAAAGGACTATGCACTTGTAAAAAAGCAGAAAACTCAATCCCCTCCTGAGATATGACAGGCACAGGATGCAAGCACTTATTAAGAAGGCAGGGTATGCTCAGGAGACACAGAACACACATAACAATGTCTGAAAGCTAATCCTTCCCCACTGACATAGAGACAGCACGTAGCACACACACCCTGCCTTGGACTTCCCCATAGCACTGAACTTCTGACAGATTATGCAGCACAATGCTCACACACAGGGTTTCCAGACATCCATATACTGCAAAAGTAGCAACTGCACTGAAGAGAGCTCACCTGTTAAAGCTGCAAAACATAGAGACAGGTTTGTAATACCTGCAACATCAAAGTTACAAAGTCCTTGAAATAATCTTGGACAAAATCTGCAGACTAAGTGGGATAATATGTCCAGGAGCACCTTTAAAGTTAGCTCTATGAAAAAGGGAGAAAGCCTGGAAAGTGCAGTCAGCTTTTGATTATTCATGTGGGCTCATTAGTGGGTCAGGATGGATGAAGAAACAGCCAGGTAAAAGCACAACTGGTACAGCATGAAAAAAATCACCAGCCAGAGTGCTGCCTGGAACTGATGACTTCAGCTCTGCAACATGCATATCTCAGGATTGCTTTCCAGTCTGAGCAGAGAGGGAAGTTGGAGCATGGCTAATTCACTGCCTGAATTCTTCAGCCAGTGATAATCAATAGCTGACTGCACAAGTTTTGTCAGAAAGGATATGAGCAGATGGAAAGCATAAAATTAGTGAGGCAGTATGGATAAATGAGTGAGATTTCTGTAAAATCATACCAATTTATATTCCCAACATAAATGTATATTTTTGAGTATTTGTGGAATAAAAAGCTTTTAAAAACTTCCTTCTATAGACAAGTGGATGAATAATGCATATTGATCATATACAAGAAAAAAATTGCAATGACTTCATCAGACCATTGGGTGATTTTGGCTGGCTAAGGAACAGAGCTTTTTTTTTTTTTCCCTTTCCCTGCAGTTGTTTTCTATGCAGTCTTCAGCCACTCTGCAAAGGAATTAACATGACACCATGCTGTGAAACAAGGAAGTACTATGCATGCATTCCCTTTTAGAGTATTCATAGAATTCCCAAGAAATGAACAGCACATCTACCTACTTGAATTTCATGTAATTTGGGGGATTTCACTCTTCTCTGTACCTCTCAAGACTACTACAGAGGATTGCATCTTTATTTTTCAAGCCTTTAGCCTGCAACAAGATGTGCTGGCAAGGATTCTAGGTGCATAGACTTCTCTGTTGCAGTACACAGATGTTAGGTTCCAAATGCAAACATCCCATTGCAAGCTCATACAGTTTAAACTGGAGAAAATACTTCAGGATCATTTTCCTCTCTTCCTTTTGCCTCAAGGTTATTGAAAAAACACATTACATTATGCACTTTGCTTTTTAAACTTTTATTGGAAAAGACAGATATGATTATGCACTTATTTTCAAAATTAGCTTTTACAAGATTATTTTACTCAAACATTAGATTACTAATGTTTTTTTGAGTGACAACCACACTTCTGATAAATTGTTGGGTGGGAATGTAGATTATTTTGGGCATAGGAATATCTGAAATTACAACAATATTTTAAAACAATAGCATGCAGCTCTGTAATTAACTGTGAGGTCTTCACGATATTTTAAGTGGTGCATGCATTTTGCAAAACTGCTTGTTTTTTAGGTTTACAATAATTTTATATGGAGCAAATGATAAAAAACTCCAAGTTCAAATGCATGCACAAAATTACTTTTTACATTTAATCAAAAAAAGCCTAAGCCTAATTCCTCCAAGGCAATATCACAACCTGCAGGTTGCGCAGGGTCTCAGGACTGCTTCTCTGCTGTGTGTGCTACAAGGAGCCCTGCATATCTTCCAGCAAAAAGTTTCTTTGCTGCTGTCATTTTGTCAGCACTCTCTGAAACTGGAAGAGAACAAACTCAGGCACCTTCATTACTGATATCAAAGAGTTAAGTATCAGATAGACCAGCCATAGTGCCAAAACCTGTCTGCAGGAGACATGGGGAAGGCTGCCCTAGAGGTAAATGTTTTTAGGCAGTTCCTTGAGCTGCACAATTCCCAAAACTGCCTGTTCCCTACCAGAGTAGGAGATTTGCAGCATGTCCTCACTGCATCAGTGAGAAGGGAAACCAAGCACAGGATCAACTGCACCAGTGGGTTCTTCATGATGCCAAAACAAAGATCTGATGGGGGAGATGACTCAGAGCACTGGGATCTGGGCTCTGTGCTGGCCTTTGCTGCTTGTTCTGAGGGCAGTGCAGCAGGTACCTCACTGCACCATGAAGTCCTCTACCTGCAGATCCTCCTCCTTCTCCCAGTGCCTCTTGCCTAACCTGGCTTCCCCTCCACCACACTCATATATGCTTATCAATACAACAGGACATGACACCCAAGTACGGAAAAGAAATTAAGGGTACTGAAAATAACAGCAGTGTTCTAAAGTTTTTACTCATTAGGAAGGGAAAGGGAGGTACACAAACTCTGTTCAACTGATCAGCTCATGTGAAGCAAAACTCTCTGAAATACAGGACAAATCAGGAACAAAATTGTTTTATTAAGTCACAATGTAAGCTACATTAAGCCAAGAAAAAAATTCCCAGACACCAGCACATCTCTTGTTAAACCCAGAAAAGGCAATGCAGAGACAGAATAAAAGCTTTATTCTTATCCTACCTCAGTAAAACAAAGGCACAAGAACACATCTCCTCTTTGCTCTGCTTGAAGTCAGACCACCCTGTGACAAGTCTGAGCCAGTGTTATATCTATGCCTTCAGTGGACCTTTGAAGATGTAGCAGAGTCTTTATTACTCCTGCAGTCTGTAAGGGCTATGCATAGTAAATCTACATAATGTATCCACAGCATGAAACACATTCAAGTTAAGAGAAATACTTTCATAGTTCTCTCGTACCAAAAGCAAAGGAAAACATCTATCTACCAGAAACTGTATATTTGCTTTACTTTAAATCTCATGCAACAAACTAGAAAAGAAAAGAAAAGAAAAAACAAAAAAAAAAAAAAACAAAACCCCAACAAAACAAAAAATGAACCAAAACTAAGGGCACAGTTTACTGTGGTCTAAATAACAACCTTTACTATTTATAAAATCAGAGCTGTTAAAGTAGCTTAGAGCACGAATTAAGCCAGAACAGATTTTCAGACATTTAAAAGCACTTTTTTTTTTCTACTGCAGAGATGTAAAAGCACTTCAAAAAGCTAAGAATTTGCAACTGTAAGGACTAGATAGGGATGAGGGTTATTAGGTTGCCTATTCTGTAACTTCTTGTCCCAGCTAGTCTGCACTTGTAAGATGCAAAAGGTCCAACTTAAAAACACCTGATGACATAAGCTTATACAGAAAATGCTGAAAGAGCCCATCTGTCCCATGCCAACGACAGCAAATCCCGGCTCAAACCTCCTGTATGCTCACACTTGAACACTGAGGGACTTCAGAGTTTTCTGTGGCTGGTCAAGCAGGGGACATCTGTGCCCCCAGTGCAAGGGTGCAGACCTAGAGAGGCGAGTCTGCCACCTTTACCCAGTCTGTTCCAGCTGCCCAGAAGCGTATCCCGCTGCTGCCACAGGCAGTCGGGAGCAATGCTCAAGCCTCCCGTTTCAAGGACAAAGAGGCAGTGCTCAGCTTGCAGTCAGTACTTCAGAGCTGCGGGTCAGAGGAGGGAAAGAGCAAAATAAAGGGAAAACTTGTATTTTACTTAGCCAGTATGTGCTATGAAGATGCTGAAAATTATGACTAGATATTAAGTGAAGGTCACGAGACTTATCTAAGACTACCGGGGGAGAAAAACAGATGGGGAAGGGGGAGGGAGAGGGAGAGAACACGAGCACTGCAGCAAAGAAGCTACGCTCAGCCAATATATTGCCAGCACTTACCATAAAAATAGAAAGATCCAAAGAGAATCAGATTAAGGATCCTATTTTATCTCTCTTCAGCAGAAAGATTCCCACATGAAGCTCTGAACACAGCTGTCCAGGGGAAAAGCAAGGTAATGTGCTGATACACGGAAAGCACTGACACACAAACGATAAGTCCTTTCACAGCCTCCGAAAACCTGCGAGCAGTTTGTGCCGAAAAACCAAAGGCAGAAGTCTGAAGGCGACTCCTACATAACACTGCAGCTAAAGCAGGCTGCTGGGTTTCCAGTCACTCACACCGCTCTGTTTTCATCCTCATCTTCTCACCATCACTTACATCCTAGAGGTGGGCTTGGGGGTGGGGATAAGAGATTTCTCCTCCGAATGGAAAGGATCACAGAAGCGGCATCAGCATTTGTAATCAGTCGCTGGGAGCACCCAATCAGAGGACCTGAGGGGTGGCAGCGTGACACTTGTCCGAGGCAGGGCAGCCCGACGCCACAGCCGCCGGCACGGTCCTGCCTCGCCCGGCATCACCGAGCGGCTTCGGGGCCAGAAATCCCCAGCCCCGCGGGGATTTCTGCAGCCACGGGCAAACACAGTGCCTTCGGGCTCTGTGCCTGGCACCCACGGGCAAACACAGTGCCTTCGGGCTCTGTGCCTGCTCCTCCGAGCAGCAGCGCTCAGAAAGGCGCAGCTCCCCTGGCTGCTGTTCTGACAGGCTGCTTGCCACCTCTCTGCAGTCCTACAGAGGCAAGAAAAGTTTGGAGGTTTGGATATCAGCGTCACTCACCTTGTGATTTTATCACCCGGTACCTTCCCTATATAAAACATATAATAATCTATATATAATGTTGCTTCCTCTTCAAAGGTATTTTTTTGAAGAAAAAAGAAGTCTGTATGAAATTTTACAGCACTGTCCCATTGTTGTGAATGGCCTTGTTAGAGCCAGTGCTGGTTTTGACATGACATCAAATCCACAGAAAATACGTGAACAAAGTTCCCCTCCCTTCACCTGCCAAGATGACAACTGGATTAAACATAGTACTGCTTTCCACCACATTATTTGACACCCAAAAAAGATTAAAAAACAATCCCAGACCTCTACTTAATTTTCAATAACTATATCCATGATCTAGGAAGAAATATTCCAATGGTATTTAAAACCATTGAACCAAGTCACACAGTAAAGTGATGCAGTCAGATTTAAAGTTGCCAAGCACTGTAATTTACAAGGGATGTTCCTGATTCTAAGATGGAAGTGATTGCATTTGACTATGGGAAGAAATTATTCTGATCCTGCTCACAATGCAGTCCATAGCAGAGGAAACATAAATACAACATGGAAATTCGTGTTTACTTAAAGTTGACACACTGCCAGTAGAAAAACTTAGATGCTTACCTTTTCAAAACATTTTTAGAACAGTCAGGCCTGAATTTTTGCTGTATCACAATGTAATCATTAATACCATACATCTGATATTCACATTTCAAAAGATGAAAAGGCTATGTAGTGTAAGGGGGGAGCATGGGGAAAACAGACATCAAAGCACTCCCAGCAGTGGCACCCAAATCACTTGATCAGTACCAAGTACTTGTACATCACACCAGGTAACAATATAAACCTATCAGGGAAAAAGGAGGCCTAACAACAACATTTGAAAAAAATAGTAAATCACATCTTCTACGTCTTGAAGCACAGACTAAAAATCTAAAAGCCAATTTAACACAACTACTCTGTTCCAAAGTGTTTCAAAGTGTTAACAGTGCAAGAACATATAAATTCCAGTAGCAACAACAGCAGAACACTAGCCTGTCATCCCATATTGGTCAGAAGAGATTACCTTTCTATATGTTTTTTTTTTCCCTCTTTTGTTTTGGAATGGTTTTAGGTTTTTTTAATATTTTTTCCCTTCCGATAATAGAACATTGGAAAGCCCATTACTGTCTTACATTTTATTTAGGTTTTAATTAGCAGATTTCATACTGTCAACAGGACATGCATGATATTTATTCCTCCCTTTTCATAAACATAATTAGCCCAAAAAACATGAGATCTGCACAAGAGGGAAGGTGAAGGCAGATCAAAAGAGCAAATGACAAAGGAGGGCAATTACCATTTCCAACTAATGCACTAAGATATATACAGATAATAACACATATATAGGTAACCAAAATTAAAAATATAGCCAATATAGGAGTGAACATGAGAAGAGAAGGTAGCAGCAGAAGAAAACACATTTAAACTCTGCAGTAAGCTTTCAAAACAGACTATGTTTCTGTTAGCAATGCTAACAGAAAGATTACTGCTTGACAACTGTGAGTGATCCCAAGCCCAGATCCTGTGCCTGTTATTGAGGAGGGTGATGAGAGCAACAACTTTCTGCTAACTTTATCTTGCCTGAAAATGACTTAGGAAAATCAGCTCTTGGTACTGCTCAACTTAAACATCCTTCAACTTTCTGATTTTTCTATTTTTATTAAGAATTAAATTGACGTGCTTTCAGTTATCAGCTTTTTAACCTCTATATTGATCTATTGAGAATTGGCAAAAATCCCTGCTTAGATGTCATATTGATAAATGTAGATGTTTTCTGATCTTTTCCTTTGTCACATGGCTCCTTTGCAATTTTGAGGACCTTTTTCTAGCTCAATTAGGAAATTAAACAATTATTTTAAAGTACTATAAAAGAAGTTATCTTTCTACTTATTCTAAAATAATTGGTGGTTTCTGATTAGAAACTACTGAGTGAGTGTTGAAGTATTTCAGGTTATGATATCAGTTTCCCCTTTAAATACAGATGAGAAATATTTACTGAATATTTCTGCTTTTAACATTGTCATGGAAAATTCTGCTTTTCTGCATCAGAGCTCTAAGAGACCAACTTGTTTTGAGTAAAAAAATCAATTCCTAACATACTGTTACTTCCAGTTATAAGAGAAACCTTATTTATTTTCTAATGAATTAAACATGTGTTAATATTCATGGCTGTTAATACAGCAATTTTTTTCTATTTTATCCATTTTATCTTACAGCTATGAAATTAATATAATTTTATTGTTAAAACTTCATTCTTCAAAATGTCATTTCCTTGGAAAACATAAAAGGTTCTTAAATTACTTCCAGATAAATAAAAAATCATAATTATAAAAAAGTTACTTCATTTTTCAAATCTCTTAGCCATGAAACAGGAATTACCAATGTCAATCCAAGTAGAAATTTTATCAATCTCCATCAAGAAAAGTGGGTGGGCCACAAGGTTTTGCTCATGTTGCTGCTGCAGCATTTAAAATTGCATAAGGGAAGTTCTGAACAACACATGCATATGGAAAGGAAGCTAAAAAGTATTATGGATTTCAAGAAAAAGATGTTTGTTCAGCAAAATCAAAATGATCATTAATAAAAAATAAAAAAAAAAATCCATACAGCCATTTCTGAAGAACTAAAAATATCAAGATAGAGGAAAAGAGAATAAGTCATCATCTAGAGAGACTTCCATTTCTGCAGTGTAAGTTTAAATCTAATGCAGGTGGGCAGCAGTACAGAGCTGACAAGACTGCGTGGAGAGAAACGGCTGCTGCTCACTGAGGCATCTTTCATTCTGGTAAGAGAGTTCTGAAGACCATTACTGTAACAGTTAAAAAAAACCAAACAACCAACAAGCTTTTCAATGATAAAGCCAAACCCCCTGGCAGGAGAGCTGTTCATAAGAAACCCCCAAAACCTAAAAAAATCTCCCCCAAACCTATGTCTCAGACATATTTTGGCTGAAAAATCAGTAATGGCCCTGTCTACATTCCAGAGACTTATGAAAAAGAAATTTATCTAGGGAATAGCAGAAAGATGCTGTTTAGGGATTGTTTCACTTATGGAGAACTTTCCTGGATGTTTTATATGAGATAAATGGTATCATTTGTCAAAAAATAAACCAAAAAAAAAACCAAACCAACAAAAAATCCACATCAAAACACCTTAAAATTCTACAATTTAGGTACAAAGAGACAGTGAGAATGTTCTCATGTTCTCCCTACCTTCTCTCCTCCTTCCTAAAGGAGCAGTAAAATCAATGCCATATAGAGGTAGCTGAGGGACACAACTGATACCAAGAACACCATTACTAGTGCCAGTATCTACAATATCATTTGTCTCTAGCTCAGGAACTCATAGTAAGACTTTCCATAAAACAAGTAAGAAAAATATAGACAGGTAGTGTTTCTTAAAGTATAAAGAACAGGTTTTGTTAAAGCAACTTCAAGAGGGCTCTAACAAATCAATTGCTATCTGAAGCCTGAGCTTGTAGGTATAAGCTGTAAACATACATAGACCAACAAATGGAAGTTTTGGTTTAAAGTTCTTCTTCAAAAAAGGGAAAAATATTAAATATTCAATTATTAAATATTTTAAAACTTTTAAAAAATCAGTTATGCTACCTCGACATAACTCCATATTAACAATGTTTTGTATCATGCACACGAACAAGAAACAAGTGTCATAACATCTGAAGCAGTTAAAGTACTCTTAACAGATTGAAATTTGATGGTACAGCATAGTCCATTCATTTCTAGCTATTTCCTTAACTAAGTAAATTAAACTCATAACAGCAAAACAAGTTTCAGGATAGCCCAAAGAAAACTACCTTTGTGAAAGATTTTAAGCACTGAATTACCAGCAGTAGAAGATAGTAAGAAAAAAAGTTGGTGAAGATTTAAAATAAAACATAATAATTAAAAATGCATTATCTCTGTGAAGAGACAAAGTGTTTCATTAACTTCTGATTTGAGGTTTGACATTCCTTTATTAAACAGTAGGAATTAATCTCTTTTGAAACAATAAAAATCTGAACTGATCTAAGCTGTTCCTGATATAGGAACTGGACAAGATTATTTCAAGGTGCCTTCTAACCTAAATAACTCTACAACTCCAAAACACCCCACCAAACTTCAAGAACAATCAGCCAAGAAAATCTCTCAAATAGAAACAAACAGCAGCAAAACTGTTGGTGATAACCAATAAATAATAATAATATCCACTGGTGAATATACACACACATATGCACTTCATAATCAAAGAGCCTGAATTCCTTTAACAGATGTTTCAGGCACAGTCAAGAAAATAAGAGATTTTTATACTGGGTTCTTTCTCCCAGCAAGGACCTATATAAAGGATCTCACACTGAGAAGTTTCAAAAGTTGTCTGATCAGACTCTGAAAGTGACTCCATGTGATGCTGACCTTTTAAATACCACCACACCCACTAAGGTTGGGGTGAGTTCCCCATATCTTAGTCTCCTTTATTGTAGTATAAAGGAGTTTTTCTTCTATAGAAATATTTTAAGTGCATCCTAGAAATAGTAATGGGATTATTAAGTGTTCTTTCAGA